TCGCAGAAGGCGACGATGAAGACGCTGGTGAACCATTTTCATTCGGAAACTGTAATTTTTTTGTGTTTATGGGAGGATGATAAGGTAATTGGTTGTGTTAGGATTGAAGTTTTGTAGAAGGAAGAGGAGTTTATTTTATTTTATTTTTGTTTAAGTTGGCAATAATGGGTGATATGGAGGATTAATTAGGATAGTTGCGATTTGTTTAGGTTGTAAAGTTGTCTATATATTTTAAGGTTACATTTGACAGAAACTAGTTAGATGATTTAATTTAACTAGAATGCCGTGATTTATTATTATTATTATTATGAGGAATTTTTTAAAAAAGTCCCAAAAAGTTTTTTATTTTTCAAAATCAACCCGTTTTTTTTTATCAAAATCGACCCACTTTTTGTCACGTGGGCTTAATGATGTTCCTAAACAGTCGGGGTTACCAACCCCAACTGTTTAGGACATGAAAATTTCGGGTTTAAGGGTTCTAATTGGGATTTAACACCTCCTAAACAGTCGGGATTGCCAACCCCAACTGTTTAGGAACTTCATTAAGCCCAAGTGGTAAAAAGTGGGTCGATTTTGTTAAAAAAAAATCGGGTCGATTTTAAAAAAATAAAAATCTTTTTGGGACTGTTTTAAAAAGTTGTCTATTTTAAGGTTACATTTGACAGAAACTAGTTAGATGATTTAATTTAACTAGAATGCCGTGATTTATTATTATTATTATTATTTTTACTGAAACAAATTATTCCAGCAAATTTATCCTTTTCTAATATGGGAATGTTGTAAATGTTTTTATCAAGAGTGACGTGCATGACATATTACTGCAAGCAAGTCTAATAGCTCTTTTCGATATTTCAATTTAAAGTTTGTTCTGATTTTATTTGCTATTGATAAAAAAGTAGCATCGTGTACTTCTTTGGGGTCTCAGAACTTCCTTTTCTTTTTCTTTCTCCTTTCCTTTTTTTTTTTTTTTTTTTTTGCTGTGCTGGGACCCTATGTGAGAATAGAAAGCTCCATAGTTTTCCAATTTAATTTGCCTGAAAATTATCATGTTCCCACTGCAGGAAAGAAAGCCTTTGCCCAAAAGTCTTATTCTTGATTGATTTGGATTTCCATATCAGCTGTGTTAAATCCTTGCATGTATTTTTCAGGGTAAATTTTACGAAAGCCGCTAAACGTCTGGGGCTTTCCAAGAAACCCCCTGGACTTTTTCTATTCCACCCCCATGATGTTTGGAGTTCCACAAGACCCCCCTAGACCTTCGAATTTTCAGAATAGACTTAAAAAAAAAAGAAACAGATTCAAACGTAAAATGCAGTGTCAAGGCCTCATCAAACACAACCCTTTACATTCGGCATCGATTGTTTTGAACTAGACACCGCATTCGCAACAGAAATATATTTTCCACAATATATAAAATTGCACCCTTGCGGGTATCCATACATCAGATTTTGAAGAGATTTGCTGCGCAACAAATGCTACATTTATTTGATATGTTTTCTTTTCGCAACACTCGTCACGAGAGACACTATGAACAATACATAACACATGGCGTAAACATTACAAGAACTATTTTTCACATATATGTTGCCATACCTGGAGATTCTCATTTTCTATCCATCGAAACAAAATTTGGCGCGTAATTAGCTGCTGTTTTGTGACGACATGGAAGGTTTCTTCGATGCTTGACGATGTCCTTGATCGTGTAATAAATGTAGGATGCAGCAAGAATGGAAGACACATACACTGTCGCGCACATCATCATCATGAACACCATGCCATAACCTGTTTGCCTTGTCGAACTTTCTTCATCGACCAGAGGGTTAAGAAGGCGACGATGGAGATGCTGGCGAACCATTACTACTGCAGTTAAATGCAACTTTATATATGTTTGTGAGAGAATGATTTGTGTAAGGATTGAAGTTTTATAGGAGGAAGAGGAGGTTATTTTTTGGTTAATTAAGTTGCTATTAATTAATTAATGGGCGATACAAGAGGATCCAGGGATAACTTTGTTTTTTGTTGCTTCGGGTGTACAATTAATTTTTCCATTTATTAAGGTCAAGTTTGACAGAAACTTGTTAGTTGGTTGATAACCTTGATTTTTGGACAGGCCAACGTTGAATCGAAGGACAGTTTTATGTTGTTTACGTGAATATTAATTTTTAACAAATTCCCTTTGCGTTTGACCTATTTTGTGATAACCCTATTGAACCTTGAAAATGTCGTTTAACCCCCCCTTAAGTATGGTGTGTTTCAGAAAACCTCAAAAAGTTTTGGAATTTTTCGACTTAAACCCCCTAGCTGTCATAGATGAATTGATTAAAAAAAACAGAGATAATCTTTTCAAGTTAACATTATATCTATTAAATCTAATTTAACTAGCTAATCATGGACATTTTGGTCGAAGTTGGACCAAACTTAGGTGATTTCATGCGAGCACAGTTAGATCTAATAATGTTAGTTAAGGGGTACTTATGTGACAAAACCTAGGGGGTTAAGTGATATTTCTAAAGTTTTAGGAGGTTATCTCAAAATTGGCCAAATTTAAAGGGGGGTTCTGTGAATTTTACCCAAAAAGTCTCGAATTATACTAATATATCATATTCAGGTTTTGTGTGGCTCATTTTTATGCTATCTGAGTCTTGTGGCTTCTTTGAGATTATATTATTGGAATCAATTGTTAAAAGTTTTATGTGAATGGATATGTATCAGGCACGAGCACATCATGCAGTGTATCAGGCTCTATACACGATCAGCTTTCCCCTTCACACAATCCAAACTCTTACAATATAACCAAAAAAAATAAAAATAAAAAACTAAAAAACAAAACAAAAATGATGCCTTCACGGGGTAGGGTATTAGCGGCATGCGTTGAAAATTCAAATTTGAAGAGTGAGACGTGGCAACTTCGATCCTCAATATAACCATTCAGCAAACATGCATCAATTCCTACAGATGAGCAGACTCTAATGACAGTAACATTAACGTATCGACAACATTCGTTCTCGATGTGATCAGTTGAAGCCATTGCTGCGTGTAAGCTCCGACTCGCCAGAGCGAAATCGAGCAACGGTAAGCATCCGTCAAATCGACATCTGAAAGCTGAGATCAGCCTAGTGACCAATATTCAGGCCGCCATCTATTATATATATATATATATATATATATATATATTTATATATATATATATATTATATATAGAGAGAGAGAGAGAGAGAAGATATTAATGAGTATCCTTGTCATAGGGCGGGCGGATTTCTCTCCTTGTCGCCTACGTGAGCACCAATCACACCATCCTCTAAAGTAGGCACAAATCCCCACCAACTCACACTCTCTCCCTACTTATAAGGATGGTGAGGATTGTGCCATAAGGCTCAATGAGGAAATCTCCTCCTATGACAAGGATACCCATTTAATCTCATATATATATATATATATAATTATATATATAATATATATATATTATATATATATATAATATATAATATATATATATATATATATATACTTCAGTCGCCATTGTTGGAGGATAAATTACATGTCCAGTGACAGTGCACAGGATTAGGATTGCATAATCCTGTGCATTGGAAGAATTGCGAAGGCGAGGTCTCCCTGTAATACTTCATCGAAAAATTGCATAAACTTTGATGGAAGCATCTGTAGGTTTTCCCTCGCAGGAGAGCTGACGCCGCTGTCATCCTCACATTGAGGAAGGCAGCGGCGTCTCTACTGTGAGGGAAATGTATCTGGATACGTACATGCGGGTTCCAGTGAAATTAAGACCATTTCAGGTATGCTTTCGGGTTTTTTTCCCCTGATATTTTTTTCGCTTTCCAGGGAGCAACTTTATCATGAACACCTGCAACAAGTTCTTCAGGATAGAGAGGTATCAGTCACATAAAAGAAAACTTTCTTCATCCTCTGGTATTGTTCTTTTTTTTTTTCTCTCTCTCTATTTTCCTCCCTCCCTATTACGGTATAAACATCTTCAATTCTTCATAACTAATGAAAGTAGCCATTGATTTGTATCATGTTTTATGCAAATAATCATATCTGTGAAGATCATTATACTGCAGCAGTGGCAAATTCAAGAACTTTCTTTTTATTCAGATTCCTTATCTGCATGTTTTCTAAGATTTGTTGACAAGATTCTGAGATGAACTGAATTGAAAAGTTTTAACTAATTTGGTGCAGTGCTGGCAAATTGAAGTTAGGGGGAATTTTTTGGATTCTTATTTCAAGCCCAAACCACAAGCTAATCACAAGTCAGAAGAGGAAATATCTTCTCCATGAAGGTGACTCTTTTCAATTCAATAAATTATCATTAATCTAGCCAACAACCGTAGAGATATAAATTAGGCCAAAATTTGAAATTACACAAAAAAAAAATCCTAGACTTGAAAATAAATTAAACAGCTCAAAAACATCATATAAAATCCTTAAAACTTAAATAAAGTATATAAAGAGATTAAATGTAACTTGTATTTCTTTGTTCTCAGTTAAGGGCTAGGTGAAGTCCATTTTATGACTTGTAGCCTTTTCTTTTAGCTTATTTAGAGTATGGGTCACTGTCCAATGATTGGGACTATGCACTAAAGTTGATTGTTATATAGAGAATTTCAAATCCAACAAAATCAGTGGACATCCAAAAAAGTATTGATGTGGTGCTCTGAAGACCACAATTTGTCCTCCTGCTGTTTGATGTACCAACATCACAAGGATAAGGCGGGTTATTCTTTGCTTGCTCTTAAAAGTCTCTCTAACCATTACATTGAAACTCTGAATTACATCAAAACTCGGAAGTTCCGGTGAAGGTAGAGAATTAGTTTTATCTTAATTCTACATTTCATCATCTTCATTCTCACAAGAAAAATATGGAACAAATTACTAAAGAGGTTGCTCCTTTATTTACGTAATCATGACGTATTCATATCATCATCCAGATAAATTAGTGAAAAAGTAATAGCATTTGGCTCAGACAAGAGTCACAGATTTAGAGATATCAACACAGTGTTGCGGCCTTTATATTGATTTCAGGGTTTACATTAGACATCCATTTGAAATCATGAATGCGCAACATACACAAAAACCCAACTGTTTTATACACATAGCTCAAACTCGCTTTGCGGATCACATATGATTATCTCCAAGAAGAAGCAAGTGAAGAACGAAATCTCGGAGCGCAGGTTTTTGTGACACATTAATCAGACACATACTCATCGTGATCAGACTCCTCAGATTCTCTCGATAACGAACCATCACTTCCCTGATCAAATTCCTCTATTATATCCGACCTTTGACTTATGTGCTTCGATGATCCCCTTGAGTGTTTCGAGCTCGAGCTACTACTACCATCACTGTCTTCATCAGATAAATCCCTGCCATGTTTTGAGCTTGAACTACCATCAATATCTTTCTTTGAGTTTTGTCCGGAACTTCGTCTTGAGCTCGAGCTACTTCTGGAGCTCGCGCAACTACTTCCAATCTTGGATCCCGCTTGGCTTTTTCTCGAAGTCAAACCTAATTGAAGAGTCTCGACAACATGTTCGTTATCCGCGCTCGAACTTGATGATGGAGATTGACAAGGTGGTTGAGATTGTGAAGGGGGAATCTGAACAGGGGTAGGAGCTTTGTTTATTTGATATGAAGGTGAGGGTTCAATTAGAAAGCTTAGGGTCATGACAACGTCAGCCATTAATGGACGAACCGAGGGCTCATCTTGAAGACACATTGAGGCTATGGCAACAACTTGGTTTAAGCTTGTCAGTGTAAAATCACCATCGAGGATTGGATCGACGAGCTCTGGGTATCTCCTTTGCTCCTTGAACAACGGTTGTGCCTATTATGTGCATAATATGATTAATTATGACTAGAAGTAGAAATGTTATACATGTTGTCTTGTATGAATGAGATAGTTGCACATAGACCACCTGTAGTGTCATTGTTTTCAAGCTACTACCATCGTGGTCTCGTTTTTGCAAATAACCTCCCCCCCCCCCCCCCTTTTTTTTTTTTTTTTATAGACCACCTGTAGTGTCATTGTTTTCAAGCTACTACCATCGTGGTCTCGTTTTTGCAAACCCCCCCCCCCCTCTCTTTTTTTGTGACTTTTTAACTTTTTCACTATCTGATAAGCTGACTAATTTTGACCTAGGCCACTATCTGCCCAAAGTTCACCGAGGGTAAAAGAGCCAAGAATTTCAATTGGGGGTCTATCTGCAACAATAAAACTCTAGGCAGTAAGCTCAAAACAGTGATACTACAGGGGGTCTATGTGCAATTAATCCTATATAAATTTGTGGAACATGTGATTTAATAAGATATGTGATGCTAACATAGTGTAATATATAGATGATATATGAGTTAATGTGTAGTATCGGTGTTTGTTGTGTAATGTAGCTGTATATAAATTTGTCAGACTATGTGGTTGCATAATATATGATATGCTAACATAATATAACTATATAGACCTTGTGTGGGTTAAGTGGGAAAAAAAATCAAAACGTTCTTGTGGTTTTCTGGAATTTCCAAACTCGTGGGTTTAATGGGAGTTGCAAACTTTTGGGGGGGTTAAGTGCCAATGGCACAAACTTATTTGGGGTTTATAGTGAATTTTACCCTAAATATTTTGTTCTATCAATATTTATATTTATTCACTTAATTAATCCTGATATCTCCTAACTGTAAATAAACAGAGATTTAATTAAATTCATAATTTTTTATGTTATGGAGATATATAATAAGCTGATGAGTTCATACCCATGAGACGAGATTCTGCTCATTCATCGGCTTCGAGGCATCAAGGGCTCTTCTCCCAGTGATCAACTCCAGAAGAACAACTCCAAAGCTGTACACATCTGATTTCATAGTGATCTCTCCATTTCGAGTACACTCTGGTGCACTATATCCATAAGTGCCAATAACCCTCGACCCTACCATTGGGTTATCTCCCACTGGGCTCAGTTTAGCTAATCCATAGTCTGAGAGCTTCGGGGTTAAGAAACTATCGAGCAAAATGTTCGATGATTTCATATCCCGGTAGACAACCGGTGGATTTGCCTTATCGTGGAGGTATTCAATACCTTGAGCTGCACCATAAGCTATTTTCATTCTTGTGAACCAGTCAATTGGTTTCTGATTTGGCTTCATATCTGTCGACATGTTGAGTGAGTTTCTTAGTTCACATATTTACGGAATTAAGGAGAGAAAAATAAAAGGGTTCTCATACTAGACCACTAAATCTTCTTCAAGATACACCCAAATCAATTAAGTTGTCCTAAATTAAAACGCGAGGAAAATTTCATCCAAATCTACTAGTATGGTGTGATTAAATCTTAGTAATTACTAATTGCTGGCAATTTACCTTAACACCCATGATAGGGTATATAACACATGTTTAATTCATGTTCTCAATCTCCCTCCTTTCTGTAGTTCACTCTCCTCTATTTTACTTTTCCGATTTCAATCTCTGAAGTTACACAAGTGTAGCATATCCTGATCGAGGGTATTCAGATAAATTACCAGCATTAATCAAGAGTTAATCACACCAAAGTAACATATTTGGATGGAATTTTCATTTAGAGGTGTTATTTAAAAAGCTTGAAGAATTTGTCTGTGCAAATTACGGATATGAAGATTTAAAGTGAAAAACCCTAAAAATAAACAAGTTAAGGCCATTAATCTGCCATATAATTCTCTAAGAAATGCGAACATGTATAAATATGTATGGACTAAGAGCTATACCGAACAAATGATCTTGTAGAGATCCATTGGGCATGAACTCAAACACCAAAAGTCTCTGGTCTCCATCTGCACAATATCCAGCTAGGTTGGCAAGATTTGGATGGTGAAGGAGACTGAGCATCATAACTTCAACCAGAAACTCTTTATTCCCTTGATTGCTACTCCTGTCCAATTGCTTAACCGCAACAGTCTGAGACAGAGCAGGGGGGGAAAGATCAGAATTAGAGAACAATGATTGAATTTGTGAATTGAGTTTGACTGTAATTTACCTTGTCAATGCTCTCGATATAGCCTTTATAAACTCTTCCAAGGCCTCCTTCGCCTAAAAGGTTATCGGGTGTGAAATGATTGGTAGCTGTCGCTAGCTCTCGGAATGTGAAATTCTGCGCTTGAATACTTCCAGTGTTGACAGGGACGGTTGATTCAGAGATCCGAGGTTTAGGAGGTTCTGCACAAAAAAAAAAAAAAGGAAAGATCACAAACTGATGTTAGTTTCTTATATTTTTGAACTACAAAGAAGAATTCCTGGTTATATTTTATTAGAAGAAAATCAAATGAATTAATGCTTAATAATTAGGTGCGCCAATGGTAATCGAATAATTCTTAGTCAACATTGTTTAAATTATTGACATTTCAATACTGGCAATGGCCATAGTAAATCGAGCATCTATTAGGCCAATGCCCTTCCTTAAAAAATAATAATAAAATCAAACATCTATTATAGTGAAAATTAAATCATATGAACCTCCAATTTCCTCCATTATAATAGGTCATTTTTCCTCCATTTAGTATATCGTTGTGTCATATGTTGCGAAATTATTGTACAAGCCTGCACATTGAAAAGGAGTATACAGAAAATCCACTACTCCAAACTTTTGCATCAAAAATGATTCCCAAGGTTATATATCGGAATTTCGTCATGCGATGAAAAATGCATATCATCATGTAATACGAAAGATGTAAACTTTAGTCTAAAATGAACATCTAACATGAATATAAAGCAAAAATATTAAAAGCTCACCTGGCTTTTTATGCACATTCGGATTTGGTGCATGATTGAATCCCTCATCAGAACCAAAACTATCCTTCTCCTTCTTCCCAAAACAAGGAAAGCAGCTCATATTTCACCAATGGCCGACCAATCGAACCCTCGGATTCCAATTTTCAAATCTCAAATGCCCAATTTACCAAATGGGCAATGTACCCAAAACCAAAGACCAGTTTCTCATCAAAAACTACCTAAAACGAGAAAATAAAAACAACCCAAATGGGGGGGAAAATTATGAAAATGATGAGAAATTAAGAGAAATTGAGCCGTACCCAGATCGGAGACAGCCCCAGAGGATCGGGAAATTCCTATGGGGGTGCTGAATTCCGATCTGGGACGGAGAAATTTTCCCTCTTCTCGAGGAAAAAAAAAGGTAAGAAAAAACTCTTCTTTTTTATTTAATTTTTTGGTTGATTGATTTGTGCGAATTAAGTGGGAGGGATTTGAGGACATATTTGAAGGAAATTGCGAGGTTCAAGGGAGAGACGTGGATGCAAGTTCTTGAGGATTGGTGAAATGAAATTGGGGCTTTTTTTTTTTGGTTTAAAAATGGAGGCAAACTAATGTTGGTGGTCTCATTTTGTTTCTTGATTGAATAAGAAGGGCTTTTCCCATATTAGCCCTAATTCTTTCATATTTTGACTTGGCCGTTAGAATCATTGAAGTTGCTATCAGGACCCCGAAATTCTCGTAACTTATTATGAAATTAGTACCTCCAATTAAGAATACGTGCACTAAGAAGAAGGGTTAATTTGAAACAAAACTTAAGAGAATTGGAAGATCTAATAGCAATTTCAATAATTATAGGAACTCATTTCAAAATACGAAATATGTACATGAGTATATATATATATATATATATAATATATATATATATATATATTATATATAGGAGAGAGAGAGACGAGACAGAGAGACGAGAAGACCGACCGAGACGAAGAGAGAGAGAGAAAAGATACGAGAAAAAGAGAGAAAAATAAAATTCAGGGTGGTATTGTATTAAGATATTTCTACTTCTCATTTTCATTTGGTAGCGTTCGTGGTAACCACGTTGGCTCAACATTCCCGTAATCTTGATTTTTTTTTTTAACGGAAGCAAGTATTACACAAAAAATATAAGAAAATCTACTCCATCTAAAATAAGAATTTCCTTCAAGAAACAAATTTATTACCTGCTGGTGATCCGCAGTCTCACTAGCGTTAACCACGTCGTCTCCTTCAATACTGCAACACTGCAGAATTTCAAAGGCGTCGTACAACAATATTAGCTTATGACTCTTTGAGAGTTGAGTTTGAGACCGATGAAACTGGGGACAGATAACGGACTCGAAGACCCACTTCATTATTGCACCAAATTTCTGACTCATTGCAAACACCAGGAATCACAAGCAAAGCTTTAATAAACACAGAATTTACAAAGGCAATTCAGGTCATCAGGCTTTATATACCCCCAAGATAAACCCCACATTTGAATCTCTTATAATTTCCCTCTGTACAAGATATTCTGCAGGCTGCTATAACTGGCCTGCAGACCTGATGGAGGTGCAAAAAGAATTTCTTTTTTTTTTTTTGGGCAGCAACCTGAGGATTGCTAACAAGTCGAAATTCAAAACTTTATACTCATCATCGCCCATCAAGATCGTGTACAAGTAGGAAAGGTCTCGGCCTGCGAATGCTTCACAGTGCAACTGCCCTCAGCTTTTCACCATTTCACCGAGGAGAAAAAGTAGTTCATCTTCTCATAGAGCAGGAAATAGAGGCTGAAGAAGTCCAGAAACCTGAAGCAGCATGGAGAGAGAGATGACCCTTTTTTGTATTCAGTGGAAGATTGCAAGTCACTGACTGCAGTTTAGGCTTCTAGTCAGAATCAGAATCTATTGATAAATACAGCCGAGGGCGGACTGAACGAGGCTGACGAGGATGTGAGAAAGGACCATCAGACTTTCGAGCATTTGAGGTTGCTTTCTGGCCTCTGTCCCCATTCATGCTCAGAAGCAAAGAAGCTGAAACAATTGTAAGGGAAACATCAAGACCTCCAATAAAACATGCAACATAAAGCACAAATTAACCAAGACCGACGGTCACATCTCAAATTCTCAATGCAAGTAACTTTTTGAAAAGTGTAACGATCATTTAGCAAGATGCAAATATCCAGAGGAAAGCATAATAAACATAGGGAAAAGGATCGTGTGTGTAACTAATAATACCTATCATGTTTTTGCAAGAGACAAACACCAACAAGGCTCAGTACGATCATAGAACAACTAAAAGACATCAAAAAAGCTGAACAGGCATCATCAAGGTAGGTTCAATATGATTATGAAACAACTAACAAGAGGCATAAGTAACACAGGTATGCCCAAAAAAATGCAGCAGTAATCTGCAAAAGCTCAATATTGAATTATTACACTATAACTGAAAGCTCAACACAATATGGTACCAAAGCAGTTAGTTATGTAACATATTTGAAATTATAAATTATAGCATAAATTATATAAGGCACACACCAGTGTCATTCTCTTGGGCTGTAAACTGCTGCTTTGATGATTCCATCCCATTTGAAGACGCAGAGCCACCTTTCCCTCCTCCAGCACCGCCAAGGCTAAGGGATATCCAATTACGCAAGCCATCACCATTGGCCATTTCAGTATGCTCATTCAAGTCAGCCTGTGGAGGATCAGCAGGTTGAGTGGGGAGAAAAATTTGTAAAGAAGGATCATTACTGCCATATGCTAAAGGATTGTCAACTAGACTCCCATTCAATTCTGTGGTAGAGCGATCCTGGGCCTGTGAAGTTTCCCCGGTGTCCCCATTTGGTGTTAAGCCATAACCATTTAGTGATGGGACCGAGTTCTGATGCACATCAACTAAAGCATCAGATCCATTGCCATCTTCACCAAATAGCTGAAAAGTAGGACCCGCTTGAGGATACGTTGGCAACTGCCACATAGGCATTTCAAAATCATCATTGTCACTAGAAAAAGGACCGAAAGCAGGCCCATTGACCTTGAGAGCGGGGTCTTCAGTGTACGTTTCTTCAAATCCAGGATGATCTGAAGGAAAATTAATACCATTAGCATCAGTTGCTGGAGCAGCAGAAACCATAGTCACATTGTCTTCTTCGTCAGAATCACTGAGGACAATAACATCCGCACCTTTCGATGGCATAGGAGGAATCCTATCCTCATCATCGTATGTGGGGTCAAAGTTAAGAGAAATAGAGTCCAGTTCATGGACATTGTTCAGAGAAAAGTCAAAATTCCCCCCGCCATCCTGATTGACACTCGGATCTTCCCCGTCTTTGTAACTTCTGGAGGTGCTGCTGCTCATTGGCATAAGGTGTTGGAAATGGTTTCCAAGTTCCTCCTGTACATGATTTCCAGAAGGAACCCTCGTATCTTCAGCTTTACTAAGCTCCCAGACACCATTTTGGTTTTTCTTCATTCCTAATTTCAAACCTGTCGAGCCTTCATAAATATCTTCCTGCTTAATATGCTTTGAGATGTTCGAGCCACCTTCCACATCCATATCCATTGCAGCACAAAGCGAACCATCTGGTAAATGCCACCTTGAAAGATCCCTGCACTCTCCTTCACTCTTTGCACGCCAAGAACCATTAGGCTTAACATCAATCTCATTAACATCTTCTCCGCAATTTCTCATCTATTACAGACAAATTAAATGACAAAGATGGTGACTCAGTAGAGGCATCAGAAAGTCAAATTACAGTAGAAAGTCCACATATACCTACCAACGAAGTGATACGATTAAAATATGGATCAATGATGAGGTTTTCAAGAGAGTAATTCTTTAGGCAGATTGGACATTGCCACTGCAAGAATACACAAGATGGTACGAGTTAGCAGGTAAAGAAAATAAGAGCAAATAAAGCGGAATTGTTACCTTACGAGATCTCTGATTAAGTTCCACGAATGTTTCTAGATCAAAACACCCCATGTGAACACAAGGCTTGAACCTTCCTGCAATCTTTATCCTAGACCCACTCATCTGCAAGGGAAAGAACATAAATCATCTACAAGCCGCTTAGACTATTACAGGTTGTGGAAATGTTGTATCTCCTTTAATATGAGTATTACATAAGAAAACATGATGTCCAATTTCAAGATATTAATAAAGGATCAAATTCATTTTCATAATCTTTGAGGAAGGCAACCTAAGGAATAAAAGGAACGGTTTTCTGTCACTAAATAGGAGGATTGCTTTTTATATCATTGGATAAGCAAGCAAATTGACCATATGATACAGAATATAAAGATGGCCCTTCACACTTTGAAGGGAATACTGATAACGAGACAGGAAAGTAAAGAGTTCGATAGGATGAAAACTAGAATGCTTAATGGAGAAAAAACAGCAGGTAGAAATATAAGTCAAGCCGAATTCTTTAGATAACAAATATCTTAGACGACACTCACGTCAGAAGAAGGAAAAAAGAAAAGAAAAATATCATTTGCAAACTGTAAAGAAAATTCGTTTATATCATGTTCAAAAGATATACAATACATGAAAAGATAATTGAAGTAATGCATCCTAGAAGCTCTTGAAGACCCGAAGCGGTTCAAAAGGAAACACGTATGTATGTTTCATGGAAAAGTTAATGCTCCATATTCCAACAGAACTACATAGTTGTGCAACTGTAGTACTAGGATAGGTGACATCTCGAGAAGCCCCTGTTTTGCACCACACCCTTTTCTCCTATTGAGGATAAAACAAGCAAGAGTTGATATCCATTGCTTTGATGGTTATAGCATGTGCAATGGAGACCAATAACACCGCAAATTAGGAGAAGTGTCAGGATTGGACTAGAGGCAACCCTAAAGGAATTTGGATGGAGGACAGCTAATAAAGATATAATTTAATCTTCAAGTTGTTTTATATGAAAACTCTTTCCTCCTGCAAGCTCCCATGAGGATGGGCATTTAGGCTAGTCTTTTCCTTCAAATGCATGACCTGCTAGACTCCTTTGATAAGTTTAATGTTCCTATAAACGTAAGCTTGCAACTAATGTGTAATGCAAAATCTTTTAGAAGAATACAAGAACTACAGATGCAAGCTAGATACATTCCAATCATCACACTTCATGTGAATATGTCCATTCCTTCTAAGGTTGAAAGTTGTTTTAATTATGATGGTTTTGGTAGATGCTTCATGATTTAACTACAAATATCCACTTACCTCTATTTAAGTTTAATTACTTACAAACAATTGAACAGAATTTATACAGCTTAAAGGATTGTAACTCAATTATTTTTTTCAAAGAAAATAGTACAAAGAATGAGAGTAAAGGCAAGTATATCCAGCAGACAAAGTTAATTGATAAACTATCCACAAAGATACCAAAAGGAACTTACTGGGCACCGGAGATTGACAGTAACAGAATCCGCCACCACCTCCAGATCACTGTCACTGTCTGCAGTATCGGTAGCATTACCTCCACTAATACAACGACAAATCCGAGCAAGGGCATCCACGAAAGGCTCACCATCTGCTTCCTTAGGTATCATATTCAGGACCTGTACATCAAAGGAAACCACTACCATAAGAAAAATAAAAACAGAACGTGAAATTTGTAAATCACAAGTAGACAATATTGGTACATGAAATTTGAAAGGAAATGACTGTTGATGAATCAATGAGAAGTTTTAGACCATTTCAGATGATCAGTAAAATCTTGGCTTTGAAAAAAAGGAAAATAACACCATACAAACATATATACATGCATAAAACATGCATAAATAGCAACAACTGTTTGTCTAGCTCAGCTATGACCGCCAACAAACGTAATCGGTGGGCCCTCAATTGGATAATTCAGTCAATTTATTTTGAAACGCAATGGATAGTCATGTGTTTAAAAGATTTCTAATACATGCATAAACTAGGTGCAAAACAAACAACTTTTCTATATTATAAAGTGCAAAACCACATGATACATGGGTTAGAAGACCCCAAAATACATAATATTTTACTCGCTAGAGTATTGGAGATGCGTAGACCTTGATAAACATACAGGCTTCATCATTGATATAACCTATCATCGCAATAATCATGAAACTGACAATTAGGATGTGAGAGAAAATACATGATCAGAACAAATACAGGTTTTAGATCATACAAAAGATGAGGGACTGCTGGCAAGAAATGTAACATGAAAAAGTGTGATACTGCTAGGAAGAGCATGATACTTTTTAAATTTATTCCAAATGATAAATGCTAAGAAATAATCCACCACCAACTTATCTGTGTTTACGTTTCTGTGAGTAGCAACCAAAAGAATGAGAATTCTATAACACATTATACAGCACAAGAATCAGTAGGTTGCCCCCAAGTTGGACTAAATCAAGCTAAAACAAATAGAACACACACTTCAAAAGACTGTTAAATGGATTCCTCTTATGCAAAAATAGAGCAATATTACAAAACCTTGCATGACGATGTGCATCTGGAAGGACAATTTACCTGGTTGACACACGTACAGATATGGAAAAATGCAATAAAAGGAGTAATAAGCACAAAGCACCAAAGACGTACAAGATCAACTCAGAGAGTTTGGAGTCAGAAAACAATCACAAAAATCAAAATCATGAGAAGACTTCAGAATCTATTAATTGACTAGAGAGAAACAAAACCTAATAAGAAAGATAGAATGACAAGACTGAACTAGAAGATTCTACACAATACAAAGCAGACAAAAAAAACAAAGTTACCTGTTGAACTGTTCTGCGCTTTGCAATCCTGATACCAAAACTGAATGTGCGAACATCGCAACGTGATAAACAAATCTTGTTTATTCCTTCCCTGCTACATGTAGTGATCTGAAAAATAAACCAATAGATGGCAAAATTGAGACTAAAAGTAACAAATCTAGCAGAAGGTTTCAGTAAAAGTATGAGTGATGACTAGCAGTTTCAAACTCCATTTAGTACAATTATGTGCATGAAGACATCAGCGTATGGGAGGAAATAAAAGATCTTACCAGAGGACCATCATCTCTACCATTAAGTCCTAATAACTGTGCACCTGGCCTATTGGTTGTTCGGACAGCAAAACCTGCAAGTATACACAACGTATGTGAGAATAAGATGAATAAATACCTTGAACACTAAACTCTCAGTAAAGAACATTATGGCAGGGTCTACTTCAATAGTAACTAAATATCTCATAAAAAAATATAAGTCCACTCATTATTGAAACTTAACTAGATATAATATTCAAAAGTAGTAAACCAGAACCCTTTCTCATGAACTGACGATAATATACTGGCCGAAAAGAATATTAAATCCGGAAGTTAAATTCTCCAGATATGACATAGATGTACTAGATATAGACTGAAGGACTGTTCCATTACTACAGAACTTAAAAACAACAATTACCATTGATATAATTCTCCATACAGACTACTAAGCATCTGTTACTTGTCAGTTCAAAGATGTGTCACAAACTTGAATAGAAGTCATTGATATGATTCTCCATACAAACAAATAAGCTCTTACATAAGTTACAAATTTGGGCAAGCCATGACTTCTATTCAAGAGAAAAATAAATGAAAGAAAACAATAAAAAATTGTAGTTCCTTTTCAGGTACTCTACATCAATAAAGTGACCCAGGACACTGCAGGCATGAAAAAGTTAACAAACCATGAGAATGTATTATTTGCATCACTGCATACATAAAAAATTAAATTACTGAACACTGTCCTAGAAGCAGCAGGTGCTAAAGCTGAGGGATGGTCTGAAAGATCTAGCTAACAAGCACAGCATATTCACAAGAAAAAGAAGTAACAGAACAATTTAATTAGGCTTAAAATGAAGTGATTTCCCTTTAAAAAAGGTATGATGAAAATGTACAAAATACATAAGTGGCCACAGTAAAATAGTTTCTATACCATTGACTTGTAGATCAGCATGTTGTGGCCACTGCATTCTAAAAGGGACTTTATCATTGAGGAGAATACACCAAACCTGCAAGAGTAATTTTGGCCCAATATGGAAGGCCCTAGTTGTATTAAATAAAGAGACTATAGTAGATGGTAATAAAATAGCAAGATAGACTAAATCTTGGTCCAGTAGATTATAGGATAATAAACTCTAGCAGTATAATATGATTCCTGACAGAAGCAAATGATGCTTTTGACATGTTCAGATCAAATGATTATAATATCGACTAACAGGGTGCAAAAACTTCAGACAATGAAAATGAGATTTGATTTTATTTTATAAAAAAACAAGATGGCTAAATTAAAGAGCATATATTTTCTTCAATCACAACTAATTCTTACAGAAGAAAAACACCAAAAAGTGGCCTATAAAAAAACACCTCAGAAGAATAAGAATGCAACAGGAAATGTGGGAATCCTTCACAGTAACAAGGGTCAGGGATAACATCTGCATAAACTATTTGCATGGATTATAGGCAGAATTCAAACTCTATAATATTAAAAAGAAAAGTAGTGCTTTGTTTTCTTCAGACAAGGATAATCTATAAAGTTCCTTTTGCAACCAGTACAAAATAACCTATTGAAACCTAATAAATTACCCTAATAACAATTTTACCCTAGGTCATTGATGTTCAATCGAAACAAAAATATAAAATCTATTTTGGTAAATATTAATAGATCATTTTAGCTTATGACAGATAATAGAAACATGCATCATTACATTTTTAAGGTTGTTGTCCGCTAAGATTTTGAGATGAAAAAGTTACTAAATGGCCATTCTTAAACTGAAATGTTCTGGAATGGCCCATAAGTATCTAAAGTAAGCATGTGCACTTATTCGTGCATCATAGATGCTTACGGAAGGCATGACATTTATTTTTATCTGATAATATTAGACTAAATTCGAACAAATCAGAAGTTTGACTGCATAGGAAAATTAAGTATCTATTTTCCAAAAGAGATAAAGATAAAATTTAAGACTTGAAGAACAAATGAGCACCCTCATATATAAATTGAAACCTTGACAATCATAACTTGATATCCTCATCCAGAATCATGTAGCAGAAAAAAAGGGCAAACTTTAACGATTTAATGATGATGAAGTTAGTTGCAATGAGAATGAAAAATAAACCTGAAGATCAAATTCAGTTCTTTGTAGCAATTCCTTGTCAGCTCTTGATAGCGGATAAGTTTTCTCAATGCATGGTACTGTATTTGCTCTGGAAAACATAATAAATTGTATCCTATATCAGAAATTCAAGATAAAAGTGTAATGAAATTTCTACATTAAATGCAAAAATGATACCCCAAATAAAAGCAAAATAATAACAGTTCTTCACTGATTTTGCTAGTTATATATGTAGTCAACGGAATCAGGCCACTTCTCTTTTGGCACACGCAAACTCTTGATTCAACATTTAGATCATGATCTAAAACATTAAAATAACTCGGGACACTGATTTTGTTAGAATTTACGCATTCTATACCACAAAAGTAAACACCACCCTGTTCACAGCCTATTATTTTGTGCTTAGTTGATGCAACATATAATATAGTTTTCACATAAAAACATTAATGGGCAAACTTATAAGCATTGTGCAGTACAAATCACTAACTGATATTTCATAAACTAGTCCACTTACAAAACATGAACCGTCACTAGTTAGACCAACTTTTTTTTTCTCTGATAAGTATGTTGATTTTGAATACAATGGCCACACATTTCCTTCTTGGTGTTATCTCAAGAATCCATGGCATATAGACTGGAAATGCTCAAAGAAGAACTTGTTTTGTAATATGGTAGACTAAGAGAAATAAAATGATAAAAGACAATTGGCAGTGAGATGCACAGGGACATACAAACTGCAAGAGGAAGAGCAAGCAGGATATGGAGGCTGGATACATCCCCACTCCCAGAAGAGGCTTTTGCTTTTTTTGAAAAGTTTTTGATTCACGTATTGCTTACTAAAAGATCATGCAAGTAAATGTAGTCCCAGCATTGTCTCACTAAAAGATCATGCAAGTAACTGTAAGCACAACAGTTAACTTAATTCTCAAGACAATAGACAACATGCAAAGAGAATTCACCTTAACCTTAAAAGATCAAGACAATACAACCCTATATAAACTTACAAGAAAGAGATTGACAGAGGGCAGGCCCAATATTTAGTCTTATCAATGATAAACCAACTAGATTGCTATGTCATCCTGAAATTCTGATTTCCTCATTCAACAGTGCATTTCATCTGAACCTCGATTAGATAATAATTGCATCAACTGTCTTGCAAGTTGCAACAATATAAAATTGTGAACCAGTGACCTTCATGCAACTAAAGCAATAACCAGATGATCCTCCAATTGCAAATATTAACTAAAAAATAAACCACTTAACAACCTTAGGAAAACTGACACATTAATTAACTGTAGCAGAAACATATTACCAATAAACCATATACAGAAAACTAACTGTAGCAGAAACATGTTATCAATAACATCTACGGAGAACTATCTCAGGAGAACAATAAGTATAAAGACGAATGAGATGAACAATTGCGCTCATTTAAGGAAAACTATCTCAGTAGAACAATAAGTATGGACACGAATAAGATGGAGATTTCTGTTCCAGAACGTTACTCACCCATCAGATCCAATGCCAGAAGGAACTAATTTTGTAGGATGTAAAGGCTGTCCCACAGTAACCCAAAACCTGATGTTCATTATAACAATAACAAAGAAAAAATATGTTTATGATAGAGAAAACATAGAGCCAATGCAACCAACTTCGAGAGAGATGAAAAAATGAGCATAAAAGAATTAGAACATGAGAAATATATTTATGAAACAATCAAATTTCAAAACGTAGAAAACATGGGATGGTAAGGCACTTTGCTATCATCTTTTTTCGCCTACTCACTCTGTATGTTCTTAAATTCTGCTAGTGTTATTTAGTGTGACACTTAATATAAACCACAAGGGCAACTTCATTGGACTCCATTTTATGGCTCATAAATTTGACTTCTTGATGCTCTGTAGTTTGGAAGAAAGCTTTTCAAAAAAGGCTATGATGTTGTCCGGCTCATGGGTACCTTTAGATTTCCCTTCATTGATCTGCAGTGGCTGGGATTCAACTGTCAGGTTGTAAAATTAACTTCCATAATCTTGCAAAACAGGTCAAGATCTTTATGTGTGCATGTGCAGAAATATAGGGATAGGAACCATGCATACAAGTGGTCCACGTGTATATATTTAAAATGTGTATGCAAATCTTTTAGCACTTCCATGCAAGGAAAAAACTTGCTTAATTGGTTGATAAATACTTCCTGGTTTAATGAATTTGATTAAAAGGTTTCATGAGATCTAGACTTGACATTTCCTTAAACTATGGGTACAAACCCTTTTTTTTGGGTTCAAACTTTGTTCTTAATCGTTTGAAAATAATGGTTTCAAAAGGACATTTTTGAAATAGACATTTTCAAAAAAAACATATATCAATTTCGACCTATTTGCCAAATAGGATCGAAATCAACCTAGTTTCAGCCACGACAGCAAAACTAGGTCGGTTTTTTTAAAACTTTCTGAACTCCATGGGATTGGCAATCCTGTGGAGCTAAATTGTGTGTTAAATTGTACAGGATTCCCAATTCCGTAGACTCAACGATTTATTTCCCCCAAGATCGACCTAGTTTAAGCCAGCGTGGCAGAAACTAGGTCTATTTTGATAAATATTTTGGGAATGGGTCGATTTTTGTGATTATTATTTTTTTCAAAGGTACCAATTCAAAAATTTGTCCGATTCAAAATGTAGCATGGGATGGTGACTTGCAGTGGTGATGGGCTGTAGTTGAACATCTGATATATAGTACACACTCTTAGAGTTGGGGATATGATACTTCTATATTTTATTTTTTATTCAACCATATGTTGAATGAATGAAAATTCTGGCTGGGATTTCAAAAATGTGAAATCCCATCCTTAGTTCTCAACAAAAAAACAGACATGTGGCATATTTTGTAAGCAATTGAAAAACTCATAAGCAGACTTCGAATAATTGCAAAAAATGATCAAATCAGAAATAATGGACTTCAGATTGAGGATTAGCTTACAGCATTCAACAAAAGCAGATACCAAAATTTGCCGTCCAATTACTTACGAAAATAGCATAACTGTAAAGTATATGATACACTCAAAAAAACAAGTCTACGAGACATACGGGTCCGCCCTCTTGAGTCGGCAAACTTCACAGTAATAGCACTGTGGAACTTCAGGGCGAACACCCACCATAGGTTTCTCAGGTATAATAACACAATCAATATGTTGCCAAAGATGACATATCGGATCTTCACACTGCAATCAGCAAACACCAATGGTTACAAAGCAAAGTGAATTGAGAAATGCACACATAAAGACATATTCTCGTATGAACTAGTATGAACCACACTGCATTTCAGACTCCCACTACAAATTTCACTAGTGATACTGTGATAAGTGAAGACCTCCTACACTCTCTTAGAAGGGAGAAAACCTCAATGTAAGAAGATCTCAATAAAACTGTAATGGCTCTATTGATCATTTTCTTGCATAGGAAAATTCAGATAGTTTAATTTGGTGGATTATCCAACATTAACCCAAAAGGCAAAGACAATTTTTGTAGTAGTTCAGAAATCGACTTGAATGACGACAACTCACTTTAATTAAGATAAGAATTGAACGAAACCCTTCTCTTCTTGAAGAGAAATGGAAGGAACTATATCCAGTTTCAGGAGGAAAAAAAACACTAGAAAGACTAGCATTTGCTACAAAAGGCTATTAAGGCATTGTCCACACATAAACACTAGGTCACTAAGGAAATACAATGCCTAATATCTCCCTGGGAAGATTGAATGTAATTTCCTGCATAAATCAAAAGTATGATTTCACATACCCTAGAAATTACGTAAACAGGAATATATAGATAACCTATGAATTAGCAATGACAGTGAAATCATGCTAAACCTATAGAATTAATAAGAAATGTTACCTGAATCATTGAGTCGGTAATCAAAGAACTACCACAGGGACAGCGAACCTTCATGTCCTGATACAAATCATTTATTTCTTCTTTAGGTTTAACCTGATTAATTTCTGAGCTGCTTTGACTTTTTGAGGCTAGATCAGTCGCTCCAGGAACTTGCATTTTTCTGCACAAGCACCAAAGGAAGTAAAATATGCAACACAGTTCCAGATAGTCTTGCTGAAATAGAAAAGTGCTTTCCATCTAACAATACAAGACACAACGAGTGTAAGTCAAACTGAGTAAAAAGTCTTTTGCAAAGAAGATTACCTGTAGGTGTCATCTATTATTTTTG